CTCATCTCTCGTCCCAATCCTGACCCACTAACAGCCTAAACAGCCTACACCATCTCTGTTTACCAGTGAGCGTGATCCCCAAATTCTTGAAGGATAAACTGCGTCCGACGGAACTCATTACACTTTCATCGATGTGTAGTGTTGCTGGCAAATATATAGCTCAGAAGAAAATGCCAAATCATAGAGAGGACAATTACGGCGACTGTGAAAAACAATGCATAAAAGTTCGGCTCCAGTTCTTATCACACTGACCCCGCATTCACTTCTAAGTGCAACTAGCAGACGGCACCCACACATTATGCAAAGTACTAACCAAATTTCGCAGTGGAGATCCAATTCTCCTTTTGTTTTGTGTCTGATAAATACAATGCATAACTGAAGGCAGTTTGGTTCCGGAGCTCCAAAGCTACTGATGATGCAATAAGAAAACTTCCTGTTCAACCTAGTAACATCCTTCGAACTTTCTCACCCTCCGTCTAAATGTCACCTCCACTCGTTATCGTGGGACTGATGGACTAGAATTTGAAAAGACCTATGTGAAAGGCTGGGTAGAGCACTGCAACAAACAATCCTCAGGGCTAGAATCGTTCCTAGCTGCCTAACTTTCCATTGGTGTCTATGAAATGAGCTGCACTTTATGTCACAACTTGTGCAGAGACAATTAGCGAAAAATGCTCCAACACTTCCATAATTGCTAATGTATGCGACGATTGCCATATAAGAAGCGATAAATGGGGAATCGAATTGCATCATCTCAAATTTGCAACGCTCCCGTTTGAAGCCTGCGCATCTATCCTGCTTCCTAAACTTACCACGCAGTTCCACTCAGTTCAACGCAATCAGCTGCACGTGAGGGCACCTGCGTTAGCACACGCAGATGTGGGAGAGCAGTCTAAGGACTAAGCTTACTCTCCTGAATAATATCTCCTGACAGACTACTTGGCCCAAGTGTGAGTCATCCAAACATTCCGTTTGGTGTCATTTCAAATTGACTACGGGAAACCGGCTAAAGGATAGGTTTCAAATTCGGAACGAGAAGGGCTATTTCCCATCAGGCAACACGTCATAGGAGATATTCAAAGCCGACTGTAAACTTGTCTTTGTCAAATGTCCTAGTATCTTGCAATCGAACACTATTTCTGCATCAGTAAATCGGTTCTGGTCAGCCATACACTATAAATTCTAATCCACACATGCGTGTACCTAGCATTATGCATAACTGAAACAAAATATATCCTTAATCACTAAAACACTGAGCAGTTAAAATAAAGCAGAAAGAGAAATTGGACGACAAGGTCCCTATTGTCGACAACGTATGCACAGGCAGTCAGCTGCATGTACACTCGAGTTTGTAAGCTGGGAAGTTGGGCTTCCTGATAGCCAAGGTGCATGCGTTTCGATATCGCTCTGAATGGCCTCAACCTACACTTAATCAGCACCACATCCAGAAATTAGGCCACATCATATGGCACAGTGAGGAGGAACCAAAGAGACTCCACTTTTCTTTGGAATGCTTTCTGTATTCTCTAGGGGATTAGGAGTCAATAGAAACACTCAGTGATGTAGACATAGGGGTAAAACTACATGGTTGGGGTTACTTCCAGCAGGAGTTGGAAGAGCCGCCTCTCTGCTTTTCGTTTCCTCCTTTGTCACAGTACAATGGCAAGATGCATATATACGTTAAACTATTATTGGAGCACTCAGGATAATGTAGAAATACTTTGCCTCACTCCGAGTGCATCAGAAGAGTGATTTTGAGGTGAGTCAAGTACGAGTATAGAAGGGAAAGTGCAAGGAGAACGAAGGTCAGGCGGAAAGAAAGGAGGTGATGAGGAGAGTATATAAGGTGACACAACTCAGTGCACAAGTCAGAACTAAGCAAAGCAAAGCAAAGCAAAGCGAAGCGAGGCAAAGCAGAGACACCTAAAGAGATGGAAGCAATGATGTACCCAGGCTCGTATGTGTTGAAGACGGAACCCGACACTGCGATGATAGTCGCCTCACAGCCCGTGAAAATGCATGCATACCCACCTGTGTTGACGTCGAACCCCACACCTCAGTTTGCACACACACCACCACCTGTGATGATGTGTCCACCTCCATCTGTGCTGATGCCGAAACCTGCGACCGAGTTGATACACACTTCACAACCTGTGCAAGTGTTTCCCTACGCGTCTGTTATGCAGACACAACCGACGGCTGAGGTGATGCTCACCTCACAACCCGTGAAAATGTACCCATACTCGTCCCCTCACGTAGGCGTCATCCACGAACAAATCTCCAAGTTCTAGTGAGTTTGTCATATCTCTCTAGTTTCTTCCTCCCCTAGAATGTGAATTAAATGCTATTGTACAGATTACATTGGGTAATTACAAAGTAAATTCTCTTGAATTGCATCGTTTAAGAATATCGAGGACCAATTCCATGTTTTCCAGTACCAGCACTGAAGTCTCTTTGGCCATCAACTGACATATCTTCTTTCATTTCTACTCTTCTGTCCTTCTAAAATGCCACAAGATGATTCGGAAATAAAATAGCGGGTTGAAAATGAGTCACGATGCCTTCAAATTGTCATGTAAACTGGATCCATCAGGACAAGATGAGCAGACTTGCAAATCCGAATATTCCAGCAGTTCCATGCTTATGATTTCAAGTTTAATTTTGCAACGTTACCTTGATGAACATACGAAATGACACAATCTGCCAATAGTCAGTTTATCAAGTGTGACATATTACATATTACTTTCCTCCCTTCTTTCATTGGTTCTGTACAAAAAAGTTCGAAAAATTTCTTTTAAAGGCAAGTGGTATCTAACCTATTCTGCAAGACAAAAATAATAACTTATTTGATCAATTTGTCAATACCCGAAATCATTCATGAAGGATTTTAAACCTCGATAAATGCAATAACAGTGATGATTACATAAACCGAGTCCACTGGGAAAAGAATGAGTAGCTTCTATTCAAGCAAATAGAATGAAGCATTCCTGGCTTATTTTCAACCACAATCGTATTTCAGTGTAAAGATTTCCTAATTTAAAAAGTACATTACGAAGAATCTGGGAAAATTTTTCATATTTCTGGAACTTTTGGGAACTTTTGAGCAGCAATTTACACAGCTTTGTGAATCATATTTCTATTAACCAATATCCAGTCTACCTGAATTGCAAAAATGTTTAAATAACGATTGAGCTCATTATCTTGCCTTGCTCGTTCAGCTAATTTCTGAATGAAATCAATTCTAGAAGGCGTAATATCTTAATTTTCATCAAAATAGTTTTTTGGGTGCATTAGTTTGCTCTACTTTATCAATAAATTTACTTTATCTGATGAAATTATTCTTACCATCAGCTTCTGGTTATTGAGCACCGAGGTTCGGACTATTGACGCAGGACATCTACCACTCCAGTCACATGCCTGGTCCCTGTCTAACCATCGGTTTTAACCACCCTTTGAATAGGGAAAGTTCTTTGACTATCTTGGGAAAATGTGCAACGAGCAGGAACAGTTAACACCACGATGAGTGCTACCCAACATTGAGGTTGCACTCGACTTTTAACTCGTAAAGTAATAAAGTAGATAAAATTCGCAACTAAAATTTAGCTGCTCGAGAAACTTTAAGACTACAAAAAATTCAGTGGTTACCAATGAATCAAGGAAGCGAGCAATAGGAGTAAATTTTGGAATTTATAACCTCACTCGACTCGTCCTGATGGGTATACTCTCCTTACCATTTTCATTCTTTCCGCGTGACGTTCGTTCTCTTGCATCTTCAGTTCCATGCTCGAATTTGACTCACCTTAAAATCACTCATTCAATTCACTTGGAGTGAAGCATAGTGTTTCTAGATCAACCTGAGGGTCTTACTAATATTTTAACACAGATATGCACCCTGCCGATGTATTGTGACACACAAGAGGAAAAGTAGTGTAGCGAGACGACTCTTAAATTTTGCTGGAGATATCTGCAACCTCATAGCATCATCTCTATTTTAATGTCCTAGAATGTTCTCATCTATGCATAAGTCCTCAGGGAATACGAATTGCTTCTCGAAGTAAATGAAACTACCTTTGTGTTCTCCTCACTGAGCGGTATGCCGTGTCTCAATCCCCTAGATGCTGTGTAAATTACGACTGGGTTAAGGTCATTCCCATCAATAGAGAAAAGCATTATCGGCGATTACACGAAACCCTAAACCTCCGGCTGACGTAAACGAGTGTGTATATGGCTGACTGTGCATACAATGTCAACAATGACGACCTTTTCTGCCTACACTTCCCATTTTTTGTTTACTCCAGTCAGTATTCCCATAGGATTTGTGTTTGCAAAGATAATAACCTGTTCATAAAGACACATTTATTTTAAGTTTAACTGGTAGGTATTCTGCTCTCCAACTCCTTCACTCTGCTTGACTTCAGTGGTTCAGTGTTGTTGCGATGAAGCATACAGTCTGTTTCATTTATGCATGATGCAAGGTACAAATAAGTCAGAACAGGATATCTGAATGCGTGGACGATCATACATAGCTCACGTAGTGGACATAGCTTCAGCGTGTGGAAATACAGATATCTTGAAGTGCAACCGATGCCGTTGAACTGCCTGATACTACGTGGCAAGTGGAGAACAGTAAGCAATAGCAAGTGTTATGTGTGACTCAAAGCAAGAGAGCTATGCATTTGAAGTGATACAACCATTTTGGTTACAATGCTCCGTATATATCAGCCATAAGCTAAGCGAACAGGGTTAAATCAACATTGGAGCATTACCGTTTAATTGTGTCCGCACAAGAAATCGAGTGAATTACGGCGTATTACTCCAACGCAAACAGAGAAGGAGTAATCCGAAAATGATATAGCTGTGTGGAGTGCTGTTAGCGGTGCTATATCGAGCCTTTCAGTGAGGCCCAAATAAAGTCAGCTGAAGCAATCGGGTGATCAGAAATGTAGCTAGATTCTACCCGGTAGCCGCGGTAGGCCGATAAACGCCATTGGATTAGGTCGGAATTAGTCTGATTACACCTGCGGAAGCATTGAATTTAAGAGTTTATAGTTGACTTTAGCCTTTTATCCATTCGTCAGACCCCATATTGGGGAACCCCCTCCCCCTTCTCTGAACTGCGTTTACAGTAAATGAGAAAAAGCTTTACTGTGGAATGCTGTCCACACTATAAGTACACTATGTAGAAGTGTCGTGAGCTAATTACACTTACAAGCGAATACGAAATCGACATGATCTTTAATGGTCCTAAATTCTATACCCTGTCAGCTTGAGTTCCTCTTACTTCAGCCTTCCCGTTTGTGCTCGTTACGATTTTGTGCATTCATTTAAAAGCTGTGTGTTTGTTAACCACACTTCACATTGATAGGAGTGTGGTGATATTCGTTGGAAACAGTTTACCGCTTAAGTGAAGCGTGAACACATTCACTGGCCAATCAGAGTTAAGTTGAGTTAACCAGGTAGTTTGCACTACAGAATTGGCATGAATGGGGAGCAGTCACGGTGTTTGACCGAAAATGGAGAGGCTGAACCATCGGCTTTAAGCATCCACAATAAACTCATTGAGTGGGACGAGAAGGGTACTACACGAATAACTGTCTTGAACTCGATGTATTTCGTGAGCAATGAAGCATAATCAGTACTTCCATCTGCATATTTTTACTCTCCAAACCACAATGTAAACAACATCGGCGCACCATTCAGGACTGCCAAGTGAAACATACAGCCAGCCGCATTTTATCTGTCAGGATGACTCCCTTAGCAGTCTAGGCGCTGCATAATTAAAGGGTGATAGAAATCTCACTGTGCTTTTATTTTATTTCTACACAGGTGGTGAAGTAAGCATAATCTCAATCGTGTGTTATAACGTCAAATCAGCTGTCTCAGTGTCAGTTAGATGTCCCTCCTCGTTGAACATATTTCCTCTAGCATCAAAGAACATTCCTTATTCCTGTTGTGGAGGTATGTACCACTGATTCAGTTGATGTTTCAAATAATGGCAAACCTGTCACCAGGCATGTGACTGGAGTGAAGATGGTGTTACCTCGATTGTTCAAAGCTTTGTACTCAATAACCGGGTGTCGTTTATTAAAGTAAATTTAGGAGGGAAGGTAAGCACAAATGTGTACTTAGTAGGAATTATCCAGCAACCAAGGTATCTCGGGTAATTAAAGCATGTTAATCCGCGTGGAAATGCTCCATCAATTTCGACGATTCAAGGTAGATGTTGATGGTTTTAACAACTTTGAGCTATAAGACTACATAAGATATTGCTCAATATTTGTCAAAGTTGAGGAGGCATTTTCCCGAATTCCACTGTAAAGTTGATTTAACTAAGACATCTTTACTCTTTTTCAAGACTGATTTGCACCCTCCATCAGTTCACCTTACTGACCAATGTGACGAGGAAGCAATCGCGATATGCAGTACTGTACACCATCTGACCGTGTTCACGCAATGTGCTATCGAGTAAGCATAGCCACCATTACTAGTCTGAACCCGCTAGCCAAATGACGCAAGCGTGTGTAGAGCTAAATGACAGCGCAAACATTACTGCAAATGAGGATCTGGCTTTCCCGCGTTTCCCATTTCTTGACCACGCCTATGAGGATCTCCACAGAGTCCAAACTCACACGGATGAACACCAGACCTACAAACTCTGGCCCTCCTGCACGCTAATAATACATCAATTCTGAATGCTCTTGTGCTCTGCTACAACTTTGTATAAAACTCAGACAATTGCGAATTCCTCCACCTATAAAGCAGCAGTCCCTTGACACCATAATCTGAACAAAACTAGAATATTAATTGGGTTGCCACCCTTAGTGGTGCGACTTATATCGAGATAGTAACTGGAGCATATTATTTGCTGCCACTATTGGGAACCAAACACTGTGAATAGCTGGTGGTGGACCTTATACGATCATGCTTATTACTACTAAGTTGCTGATTATTTTGCGAATATTGCACTGTAAGGTTAAGTAGAGTATGATATTTGCTGCCCTTTCTGAGAACTAATGATTGCGTTTAGTGTATGACGGTCCCCTTGGTGTCACCCCAATGATGAGTTAGCAGTTGGTAGTCAAGAAGTCGCAACAGGAAAATGGTGCGATTCTCGAAGACTAAAAAACCTGCGGAGACAGGTATGCAACCAAATAGGTGATCATTGCACGTCTAAAATTGGGTAGACACAAATCCTTCTGTCAATAGCATCGGATTGGACAAGGTGGTGGTTAGAATCGTTGTTGTCTGAATGCGAATCCGACTGAAGGCCACAAAAGAATAGATAGTAGCATTTGCCGTTAAGGCAGAAGACGAGTAAACAAGAAATTTGTATGCTGGAAATGGCTTTTTTATGTATACAATACCAGTAAAAATCTTAGCGGCAAAAAGCCTTAGACACCTGCAGTTTGTCTGTAAATGTTTCCGTTGTTTGAAGCAGACAGTGAGATGGCTTTGGGAAGTATAGAGAAATTGATTGCATAGCTCAGGATTGCTATTCCTGTTGAGAATGAGTGAAGCATTGCTGCCAATTGCTTTAAAAAACACTGCAAGACAAATAAAGTACCATTAGGTAAAAATGGTGAAGTATTAGCACATGTACTAAAGACGACAGAAAATGTGATTGTAAATGGCTACTTGGAAATGTGATAATATGATGAAGAGTCGATGTAGAGGAACGTGACATTAAAACTAACATTATAAAACCCAATAATTTGCACAAGCAAGCATAAATGCAAGCACCTGAGTAAGTGGTATGGTTTCATGTGCCTCCCACAGCACCACAGCCGCACAACGTATCAAACGCGTACACTTAAAGTAGACTACACCCTTGGCAGAAACCTATTCCATCTCTCTATTAGTGACTTGTGGATTTTGACAATCGACATCTATATTTGTTGCTACTACCTAAGCATGCTTTACAAACTGGTCCTCCTCAATCACGCAAACCCACTGCTTCTAACCTTACATCACCATTGTTTAATTGGGGCAAGTTATCTACATACCGCATATTGGTAACAGGGAAAAATACTGATGCGCTCTGCTGGATCCTCCTGAGCTTAAATGTGAAAGGAGTCAAATCCATCAGCTACCTTCTACAAGTTGAGAAGATATCCCATACCCGAATTCCTCGTCCGATTTGATCGACGCTGATCTAAATATTTATTTTACACTGTTCTCCTCATTAGACAGACAAATTACCTATTACATCAAATTCTGTAATTGTAATGTAACCTTAAGATCGGAAGCCTTCAGACGTTCATGCAGTGGAAAAGACATCCATCTCAGTCAGGTGTTCATTAATGTACACATTCCAATCCTCACAGTCCTCGGTCAGTATCTCATCGATCAGCATCTTTTGCTGTGGCATTCCGTTTCTGTCTCATTGGTGATGATTTCTCTAGCCCCTAACTTCAATTTGGGCAAACTTTTGACCATGATCCTTAACCGAGTTACAAGTAGATGGTGGAATCCGATGTAAAATTTAGCGGCAGCTGTTAGAACATCACCTCAGAAGAGCAGCAGGTGTAATCACCTTGATCTCGAGTTTCGCAACTTGGTCAGTAACGCCCGAGGCGTTGTCAAAGTAGGGTGATCGTAGTTGCCCATTATGGTGCTATCTGAAAAGTGCCGGCAAATATATCTTCATCTCGTAGGCTTCAGGACTTTTGACCACAACGTAGGTATCAGAAGGTGCAGCAAATTGCATACTTCAGAGCACTTTCCAATTTTCAGCCCTACGAAACGAGTGAGTGCCTAGGTGTGTAGTCAATCCAACGCAATTAAAAATACACATCGCCAAAACTAAGGTGGAATGCCTTCTGACTGAAAATTTGGTGTTTACAGCCGTTCTTGGCTAGTGATCGGTACGGTCTACCTACTGTCAAGCAGATGCATGCTAGTGACACTCAGTAGTGCTCATTTCCCTCCCTTCCCTCCTTTTCAGCAATATCGAGGCAACTTGTACTCTTGATTGTTCAGTGTCATTGGTAAGTTAACAGTGGAGAGCGTGCGACCAATGCTCTGTGCTTATGCTCTGCAGTCGCCTTATGCTTGTACAACTCCCTGGCTTACGTAATTGTGCTGAGGTTTGCCTACAATCCAACTATCGACAGGTGTGACATTCTGTTTCCTCTCAACTTCTGCAAGTGACGATCTTACGACTTTTGCAATTAGTGTCTTGAACTCTTTTTCACTTACCGCTTACATTGGGTACTCTGGGCAACTAGTCATTCCAGTAGCTCTACATCCCTCACGTCGCTTTTGAATGCGTTGATAAGCTTATGACTAACTGCAAGAAACAACTCTAGCCTAATTAATGATTGACTGCTCTTGACACAGCACATGTCGTTTCGGATTGTGATGGTTGGTAATTTATCATAGACCGAATTTGTCATCATTTGTGTACCCAGCTTTGTTTCAAATGATAGGTTTTACGCAAAATTGTCAGAGCAGTGCTTACAATAAACACCCTTTTCTCCTCGCATTGCTTCTGTTTTTGAAATAGACAGAAGGCGTTTAAAAATGTGAATGGCATTATATCTTCTTTGCATGGCAAGTAACACTGCTTATTTGACTATTCAACCGATCCGCATAATAATTTATAAACAAATCCAGACATTTGATTGATGTACCACTGACAATGATGCTACAGCAATATGGGAATGATGGGATATATCTGGTCCTGTTAAGTCAATGGAAACAAGAGGTCTGTTCACTTTCTATCCTACTGACCTGATTGATGTGCTGTTGTTGGTAATTAATACCTATTTAATCGCTTTGTGAACAGCATGGTTTCCATGAGCGGTTGTATAAACTGAATCATTTGAGACATTCAAGATAGCTTTTGGTAAACAAATGGAATAGATGGATCCCGACTTCCTTCGACAATAACTTTGGGTAGATGTAAGATTTGCAACCACAATGTTGTCACAGTCAAAATTTGGGTTTACTAAATTAAGGGGAAATTTATTGCGCCATTTTATTCAATATTACGCATTACATTTCATAGCTGCAATGTCTTAACACAATCTAGCCTGACCTGTAGCCCTTCAGCCTGCTAAATTCTGTCAAACCTCTTAAAACACCGAACAAGTTTATGGTGTGCTCGTTTATTACTTTTCCCCAACAGCAATTCATTAGTGCCAGCAGCTTTGGATTATTGAGCACATAGGCTCAAAACCAGCACCACTCTGATCACATACCTAGTCGCAAGCTTGTCCTCAGTTAGGATATCAGCTATATGAGTGGTGGATTTATTCATAATTTTAAAATTAATTAAGCTATTTGATGCTTGTAAGAAAACATTTGATGAGGGGGAGCAAGGATAGATACTAAGGTGCCCGTTTTGAGGCCGATACCAGTCAGTGTTCTGCACGCTTTCTAAGATTTGTTTTTACTTAGAAGGTGATTTAACTGCTTGTGGCGCTTACTATTTTCAGCAATTAGATAATGATTATTAGGCATTGAATTTAAAGTGGCTCCTATTATACCATTAATTAGGAAGTGAGCATCACCGGATCCTCCTGTTTCACTTTCATCTGAGAGTCCAAATAATAAATTACCTACTCCTCTGCAACCTCTTAACTTGAGAAAGGCTCATCGTGACAATTTGCATATCCTCAATGCTGGCCTATCTAACCTCTAACGCTGGCCTGAAGCAGTTCATAGGACATTCGGTAATGGACCGCAGACTCACATGCGTGAACTACTAACCACTAGAATAGGTTCTCTTCATTCACGAAAATTCTCATTCTGTTAGAAGGCTACGTGAAATGCATTAGCGTGCGGAAGATAATGTGAGGGTTGAACCAATGAGCCCACAAATTTACTCCAAAGTTTTGCTCGAAAATGGATTTGGAAGTTTAAGTTAGCATTTTAAGTTGTTATGGTACATAATGGCAACTGGGCAACAGATCTGAATGCCCAATGTTAGTGAAAAAACTCCATTTAATGCGAGTGGAGGTATTTTTGTGCTACCTGTCAACTTGGAAATCCCAATTGCCATGTAGTAGTCCAAAGCATGCTCAGACCTCTGTGGGACAATATGTCTGCTGATGGCGAAGCCCTAAGTTGCAACTTACTTCTGTCGCGCCAGCTACTCATCTCGTTAGTTCACTCAGTACAACGTAGAATAATCCAACCAATGTTGTGCTTAAAGGCGCTTTCATTATTGATACAAACAACATTAAATCAACCAACTCCCTTGACTTTGTTGATTTCGGTTTACGTGAGAGGTGTCATAGGGTAATCATTGACCACTTAAGCTTCTGTCACTTTCGTGCTGACTCTTATTCCCAACTTAGTCAGGGGTAGGTTTTGTGCACTTGGTTGAGTGTAAACACTTGATTGAGGAATGCTCTAGTGTAGAAGGCTATAACTCTTGGTTTGTTGAAACAGAAATTCCTCTATTTAGAAGTCTAGAATTTCCCCGAAAATAATGCGAATTATCCTGAACAATTGGATGCCACCGCATGTTGCTCACTTTCCGGCCCAGCGAACAGAGGATGCAGAAGACACTCACCCATGTATAAAATAAATCAAATTAAGCAAAGTTGGTTGTGGAATGCCCATCTTGCCTCACCCAGTGAGCAAAATGCAGATATTTAAGACAGATGGACTTTCTATCATACTTCTCCTCAAATTCACCACTTCGCCTTGGCTGCCCCCTTTTGTGCCAATTCTGACGTAAAAATTAAGGTTATTGCTGAGTTATGTCGCCTCTGTCCTTTCCGTCGAATGCTCGTGCTTCAAGTGCTTCCACTTCTACACTCGCACACGCGAATCGCCAACAATACTCTTCTTAGTCTGACAACACAATACTGTTATTGCTTGAGAAACAAGCCATCGCCCAAAAACTGATTAGTACGCTTTTATTACTAGAAAGGCGTGATTGTCAATGCTAGCGATGGCGTTGAATGCAATATTTTGTTCTTCGAGAGATCTACCTTACAGAAGGCTGAACTACTCACGACATATCGGTAGCCTCCAATGACTGCATGTCAATTCCAATCAGTCACGTCAAAAACTATTTCGAAAACAGCAATTTATTTATGCTCAATTCTTAAAATGCGTTTAATTAATTCGGGAGCCCTACCCAATGCCTTTGACTAATTTTCTTCGTTGGTCCCATGCTGCTAATTTGAAATAGAATTCTCGTAAAATGCGAGGCTTAAATATTTACCCACTAATCATCAAACATATACTTAAAAGAAGCATTCAACTTGCCTTAAAATCAAGGAAGAGCTTATAGAGATCGTTTAGAACATTTTTAAGTTCCTCAAAATTCGTGGGATTTGGAGGATGCTTTAGAAGCTTTGACGCGGTTGTAACCGCATTCGTCGGTTTTGCCCCCAACAAAGCCGAATATGGGCATGTCTTTAGGCTGTGAAGCGTGTATGACCCTAGTCGTGGATTTCGGCTCTGACAGAGACGACTAAGGGCATTGCTCCGCAGACTGTAAGGAAAATATATCTTGAGTAGCTAATGTAGTCTTCGGAATAAAAGTTTATGGACGCATCTCTTAGGGTTGTGATGTGAGCACTACCTCAGGCCTGAGTATCGGCTTCACTACAGGCGACTATAGATACTGCTTTACAGGTTGATAACTGAGTGTAACCTCCCTCGTTTGTCTTCTTCAATGCGGAAGTGCAGGGACAGATTTACGGGCTGCGAATTGAGCATAAGCTCAGTCGTAGAATCCATCTTAAGTAGAGGTGGAAAATGGCAAGTCTTTGCATCCTGCAAAGAGTGCATGAACTAAATCGCGTGATCCGATTCTAAGAAAAGAAAGAACTTAGGGCTACCCGAGAATTGTGATTTGAGTATAACTTTAGTCTAGCTTTCCGTCTTTATCACTGGCGATTACGCACAAAACATCAAAGGCTGTGTAGTGACTACAATTTCGTCGCGGATTCCGTCTTCAATAAGTACAAATAGGGACATTTAACCAACTTCATTTCCATATCTGTGTATTTGCCTTAGTAGATACTGGCTTAGGCGCTAAGTTGTATCGCCTTTTATATTACTCTCATTGTCTTTATTCTTTTCGTTTGATTCTTGCGCTTCTTGTACTATTACTTCTACACTTGCACTTATAGGTCTCAATTATCTCTCCTCCGGCCCACTTGCAGTGAACGAAAGCATTACTTAATTATCCCATTTTCTATTATAATAAATCAACATGTTTGTCCCATCATTGTACTGTGGCGCAAAAGAAAGGGTAATAAAAAGAAGTAACTGCTCCAACATTTGATGACGATAACTACAATCTCTCAAATTCAAAGCCATTAAAATGCTCTAAAACTTCCGGTAAGATTTAGCTCCTCAAACAGCGAGTGCTTTTAGTATGCCTTAAAGTCTCGTTAGCTTCTCCTCACTGGGTAACATGACCTGGATGCATTCTGTAGATGTTGCAGTAATCGCAATCCAACCAAGCGCATTTGAAATGTCACTATGTGAGAGAGGTGGTGGTCCAGAAGCTCAACCCTTTAACTAACAGAAGCAAGTGTATGAAGATTCGTTGTTAACGATCATGACTTAATTACCTTGCAATTGCCTCGTTTTTTTCATAGCACAGGTTGGCTTCTCCAGTAAGTCCTTGTCCACAGATCAACCTAACTTTGCCTTGATTAACGCGATTAATGCAAAAACTACTCTACTTAAATTTATATGGAGTCTTTGCAAGTTGTATGTATAAATTAAGATTTAGTCAAGGGTAAAGTTATTTGTATTTATAGAGGTTTGGATAATTAGATCATCACCGAGTGAGTTGATCCTGATTTGGCTAAGGAGCATCGCAATTATTCAAGTGCGAAAGATTGCAGTAGTAGCGTCGGTTAAGAGCAAATTCTACAAGCCCCCAAGCAATGCGTGCACGTGGCAAAAATGTATTCATTTTCAAATCCTGAGACTTAGTGTCTCGTGCATAAAGTAATGAGTAGTAAGAATATCAATGAATACTTCTTTTAAAGCCTACACGTACGACTGAGTCTGCACTTCCATAAAGGGGTGTAAAGAAGCCTCTAAATTGCTTAAGACTTAAGAAACTAGCCGCTATTCTGTGTGCTTTTTAGGATTTAGTTTTACTTAAAAAGCGATTTAACTTCCCATAACGCTTACTAGCTCTAGGAATTGGATTATGATTATTAGGCATCAAATTCAAAATTTTGCGGAATGAACCCGAGAATGAGGTTATGCTTGCCTAGAAGCTCATAAAGAAGCCTTCAAGTGCCATTAATGTTAAGAAGTCAGTGGATGGCTTACACACATCCTAATTCTGTTGTGCTTTGCTCTGTCTCTAACAACTAATGCTGAAATACTTATGTAGTGCATTTGCAAGGCCTTCAATATTATTGAGGTAGCGTGGAAGCTAGTTGAGTAAAATTGACGATAGACAACAAGTGCAGCTTCCAAAACAAGTGAATTCACCTGCACTGATCTGTGTCACTATGTGGCTAGGCTTTGAGCAAATATTCTCACGAACAGTAAACGGCATTTGACATGGAAGCATCGGAGGCAACCGACGTGGTGCAAATAGCTCAGTAAGTAAAATCATCGCACGTTAGCTCTGAAATGGGACAAACAGTGAACAGTGCTATTAATGGCGTTGACAGTGACGCTTATTAGAATGAACAATATAAGCTTGGCGTATGGACTCATGAATGGTCTTCCAGGCTCCACATTCGACAAAGCGTTACAGTCAGAGCAGTGCATATTGACAGTGTCAAAGGCGATGCATAAGACGAGAGTGCTGCACTCTCAAGAATGCGCAATACTTCTCAGTGGTGATTTTATTTCACCGGCACATCAATAGATGACATGAAATGCCTTCTTCATTTCATAAGCTTCTGTCAGTGTACTCTGCTATTCACCCTGTTGTTCGTTGGCATTGAGGCGAGTAGGCAATGCACTGATTTCGCATCCGTGGCTTAAACCGTGAGATTGGTTAACTCGGCACGGCATTTCAAGCAGCATTTAACTGTAGTGGACAGTCAAATTTCCATAATGCTTTACTATTTTTTTATTTAGTTCCAGTAATCTGAATAAGAAGTGCTATCTACTGGAATCATTATTAAGGGTATTGAGGTAGGAAATGGCTGTTGATGTAGCCGTAAAAGGAAATCAACAATCCCCTAATTCCATGCCTAGCTTCTGATGCAGTTAGTTAGCACTTCTCTGAATAGGACGCCAAAGGGTCCTATAGGGTTGAAGAGATACATGATAATCTGACTATAATTGAAATGCAGAATATGAGAAAATGCCATTATACGAAGTTAAATGAGTTTTTCATCTACTTCAAGTTCAGGGATGGCACAAAAGGACTAATTAAAGATTTGTACAACCCAAGTTGTTTATTCCAAATAATTTTATGCAATAAAGCCAATCAACCCTCCCAGTGGCACTTACCAAAAAGAATAGCCCTTCAACGGAACACAAGATTGTAGGTGACTTCACTTCCTTTTTAAATGCTTATCAAATTCAACTCTCTACATTGCATTTAGCAACTCACTATTACTGCCCCACACATTGGATTAGCCTCGTACCATTCCACACTCAATCATTCATTTATTTATTGGCATAAAACATCAGAACTAAGAGAAGTACAGTTGTGTTTATAGCAGGAAGTAACTACAGGAGAGCTTGCACACCTTCGGCCGGCTCCTCCATCTCCTCACAACTAGAAGGCTTCCTCACAAGCCTGGGTGCAAGCACAGGCTCAAGCGTACGTGCACTCTACCAATGCTGCGACCATCCACATGGCGTCGCACATGGTGAAGTGTATACCACCTCGGTCACGGGTTGCGGCACCCACACAGACGTCGATACACACTTGCCCACACATTGCGTAGAGTGTGCAACCTCAGTCATGGGTACCGACTTACACGGATAGCAGTATGATCCACACCCGAATTGCATCCTTTCCTCTTTCTCTCTCTCTCTACTTGCTCCGCTTGATACTGTCTTGCGTGCTGACATGTCTCGCCTTATATACCCTCCGCATCGTGTCTGCTCTCTCAGCGTGTGATATGCATGCTCCACGTGCTG